AAAAAATAGTAATAAACTAGACTTTATAATCTAATATAATTATTTTAGGGATATTATAAAATTTTTAAATATACTTAAAATATAAATTAGTTACTTCTTTAATATTAATTATTCTAGTATAGGGAAGAAAGTACTTTATCTTTATTAAATAATTAATTATAACTAGAATAGTATTATAGCTATTATTTAGTAATAAATATATAATAAAGTCTATACTTATATCTTATTAAATATATTTAGAAATTAATAAAAATCTTAGTATTCTTTACTTTATTTCTTAAGAAGGAGTAATTTAATAATAGAAATAATAATTCTAGACTTATTAATTAATATACTTATAAATCCTGGGCTAGAAATATTTATATAATATTAATTTATATATCTTAGTTTTTCTAGAATATTTAGTAATAGGATTTTTATAATAAAGTTTTAGTATTTTAATTTTTATCTTATTATAGTTAGACATGTAAAGTTAGTCTTAATATCTTAGATATAGACTAGCATGTCTATAGTTAGTTAATATAATATTAGGGTGTCTTAGTAGACTATCCTTTAAGATATTTAAAATAGACTAGAGCTTCTTATCTTATAGATAAGCTCTATTAAATAATAATTATAGTATTAGTAGTAAGGAGATTAGTTTATTAGTAATAAATTATTTAGTAAAGTATATTTAATATTAGTTATTAGTATTTAGTCTTAGATTAATAGTAGTCTTAGATAGCAAGTTTTTAGATTTTAAAATAATCTAGCTCTAGTAAAAGAGTTATTTATTTCTCTTCTTAAGCAGGTCTTCTAATCTCCTAATTAGTATATTAAGTTTAATATCTAACTTCCTAAAGTAATAATATATTTAGAAATTAAATCTTAATAAAAATTTAGACTAGCAGGCTTATTAATAATTTAGTAGCTTAATTAATATAAAATACTCTAGATTTTAATAGTTTATAATAACTTTTATAAGTAATAAAGTTCCTTCTAGTTTAGGATACTATTCTTTAAAGTAATAAATAATAATTAATAATTTTTTATTATAAATCTTATAATTATATTCTATTATAGAATATTTTTTAGAGAAAAATATAATAAAGTATAATATACTTTTATTATTATATTATAATAATATTTTAATAAATATATAATTAAAGGTATTAATTTCTAGAATTATATTTTTTAACTAGTTAAAAAATTTTAATATTAGAATATTTATAAAAGTAGCTTTTAATTATTTAAATATTTTTTAATAAATAAATATCTAATTAAAGTTAATATTTTTCTTAATTAAATTAACTAATAATTTAATAATTTTTAAAAAATTATAAATAAATTAGTAGTAAAAGTTTCTAAAGTTAATAAAGATTTAAATATTAATTAAATAAGTTAATATTTCCTACTTAATAATTATTTTTACTTTATTAAGATTTATTTAAAAATTATCTCTATTTATAATTAGTTCTAGGAATTTTATCTTATATATAAAGAATTTATATTTACTAAATTTAGTATAAAATTTTATTACTTATAAATATTCTAATACTTATTAAATATAATAAATATATTTAATATAGATTTAGCTATAAATTAGAATATTATCTAGATATATAATATAAAAGATATCTAGATAATTATATAAAACTTTATTAATAAATCTCTAGAATAATACTAGGGCTTTAATAAGCCTGAATAATATTATTAAAGATTTAAATAGGCTTAACTAAATTTAGAAAATAGTAAGGTATTCTTATCCTTTCTTAATCTATAGATTATTAAAAGTAGAGATAATATTAATTTTTAAGAAATATTTTATCTCTTTTAGATTATTTAATATTTCTTTTATTAATAATAATAAATAATAATTTTTTATAATAATTATATTTAAGACTTAATAATTTATATAAAATTATAGACCTTCTCTAGATTTCTTTATAAATAAGATAGGAAATATAATAAGAAAGAAATTAAAGTAAATAAAATCTTTCTTTAAATTTTTTTTAATTTATTTCTTTAAAATTTTTAATTTATCTTAAGACATGTTATATAGGCTCCTAAAAGGTAAGATTTTTCTAGATAGTAATTTAATCTTATAATTATTAAATTAGTAGAGTAGTAGGTACTTAGCCTCCTTTAGTAAGAATATATTATAAAATTTAGTAAATTTAGGAAGTAGTTATTCTTATAACTTAGATTTAGTAATAATAATAGGATTTAAAATAGCTTTAATATTAGTAATAATAGTAATAAATATCTAGTATTTATAGCAGGTATATATAATATAGGTAGTAATTAAGATTCTAGTAATATCTTAATTCTTTAGAGATTTAAGATAAGAATTAAGGTATTAGAAAAAAGCTTTTAATAATATATTATATAATACTAAAATCTTTATAAATTTTAAAGATATATTATAGTACTTCCTATAATAAAGGCTTTTAAATAAAATAATATAATTAATAAATTTAATCTAGAAATTATAAGTCTTTAATTAAGATAAGTTAAAAATAATAAGAAAGTATATAAATTAAATTATAAAAAAAATAGTATTTTTTTTAATATAATTATAAATTTTTTAAATTAAATAAATAAAATAAATAATATTATTAAACTTTATTAGAATATTATTAAATTTCCTTAATAAAATAGGATTTCTTAATAATAATATCTCTAATTAATTATTTATAGTCTAATTATAGTCTATAAAATATTTATTCTTAATTCTAGAGTTAATTATAATAAAAATTAATAAAATTTTATTAAAGGTTTCTAGATTAATAGATAAGATTATTAATTTAGATTAGTAATTTTTTTTCTTTATTATTATTCTAGCTATTGCAGCTTTTAATAAATAGAGGAAATATTAGAGATATCCTTAATTATAATTTAGGTTAGGAATACTCTATTTTCTAATTTAGGGGATATAAAGTATTTAGTAAGTAGGATTCTAGTTAATAGAAGGTACAAGTCTAGTTTAGTAGTAGATATAAAGATATAGCTAGTTAGTCTTTAGTTAGGATATAGATAGCTACTTACTAGGTAGTTAGTACTACTATAGTAATAATATAGGTATTAGGTTTAATAATTAAGATAATAAATAATAAATAGATTTATTAAGTCTTTAGTAAAAGTAGTAGTAATAATAAGATTAATAAGGACTATAAGAATTTAGGTAATAGGAGTTAGCTTTAAAATAGGTTAGGAAGGCTAGGAATTCTTTATAAATAGGAGTAGGATAGTACTTATATAATAATAGTAGTAATTTTCTAGATTTTATAGATAATTAATAAAGTTATAATATTATAATAAGGTCTTAAAGTATATTAATATTTTTTAAAATTTTTAATTAATAATCTATTCTAGAATTATAGATAAGATATCTTTATTTATATTCTTTTCTAATATAAGATATTAAAATTTAGTAAAAAAAATATTAAACTTATAATAAATTTATTAAAGATAGAATAAATTAATATAAGTATTAATTTCTAAATTTAGATTTTTAAAAATTTTTTTTAAAATTTCTAAAATTTTAATATAATTATTTAATTTATAGATTCTATTTTAAATATATAGTAAGATTTAAGTATATAAGATTTTTTTAAGGTAACTAATTATATAAGCTATTTTACTATTTAAGATTAGAAAATAATTAAGATTTATAATTATTTTCTAGTAGATTTAAGAAGTAAAGTATCTTAAATTATTTTATTAATTATTAAATTTATTAGGGTTAGGAAGTTATTTAGAAGTTTAAGTAATAAAAATAAATATAATAAGAGTAATAATAATAATAAGAGAGGTAATAATATTAGTATCTCTTTTAAAAGAAGATAATAATTAAAAAAATATATTATTCTAAATAAGTACTTTAAATAGCTTCTATTAGATTTTTTTAGTTTATATCTTCTAGTACTTAATTATACTATTTTTTTATTAAATATAATTAAGAAGATTAGTAATAGTAGAGTATAAAATAGATAATTTATAGAATTTTTTTATAATAGTAGTAAAGAATTAGTATATTTTAATAATATACTATCTTAATTTATTAGAGGTATTATATAGGAGGGTTTCTATATCTTTAGGTAGTATAAATAATAAAATAGGTATAATAATAGTAATTAACTCCTAATAAAGAGGAGCTATATAATATTAGGGAATAGAATTAGATTTAGATATTTATTAACTAGGAGCTAATCTAGATAGAATAGTAGAATAGTAAGTATTAGGTAATAGATAGGACATAGCTTGAAGAGCTATAACAGGATTAAGGGCAATGTGGCTTAAATACAGGAATAAGGGTGGATAGTCAAGGCAGAATCTAACTAGATAGGTACTATGGCTTCGCGCCGTGACAAAAAGAAGGATAAAAGTATTATATTATTCTATTATTAAGATAATTATAGATAGATTAATTAAAGTACTATCCTACTAAAGCTTTAAGATATTTATAAAGAATTTAGGAATAATAAAAAGATTAAAGTTAATAAATAACTTATTACTAGATATAGTTTAAATCTATCTAAAATAAGAATAGTATCTTAAATTACTTTATTATAGATTTAAACTAGATAAAATCCTTTAAATTTAAGAAAATATATTAAATTAAAGGAATATTCTATAATATACTTAATAAGTAAAGGAGGGATTAAAACCCTATATTAAGGTCTTAGGCAAGCACACAACCCCCTAATATATACATACATCAATTCATCTAATTACCTGCTTCTATTGAGCTACCCCTAGGATCATCATATATCCGACAGGGACCGGGCGTCAGGTGATCACCGACTGTACCCCTTCAATTCAACAACTGTACACCACATATTCTGCTATCTCCCACATCAGGGATAGCCTATATTTCGACATCTCCATCCCTTCAAAAGCTACCAGCGCATCCCACCATCTAAAGGTGTCTCGATATTCCCAGCATTCCACACTATCTACACCAATGATCTGAGTTATTCAATAGGCCTGCAGTAAACCTGCTTACCCTCATCTCAGAAATGATGACGTCTATTCTACGGTCCTTACCCCTGCTCGGACGAAGATGGACACCACTTAACTTCTCGAACCCGAACTTCGTCCGGATACCTGCAAGCCAGGCAATTGAAGAGGAGACCATCCCTGGTTATGTTGCTACCCGGTACTACCCTACTACAATAGGAGAAATCCTTAAGAGCCGATATCAAGTAGTGGGAAAGCTAGGATTTGGAGCTAGCTCAACTGTGTGGCTTGCGCGGGATATGGAGTGAGATGCCCGTAGAATATATGTTTACGATTATCTTGCCTCTACTTGTTGGCTAACTGAAAGTACAGCTGCTGTCGTTATGTTACCCTCAAGATATTCATCAAGTCTGCATCATTAGGGAAGCAACTAGATGACGAGCTCAACATATATAAACGCATGGGAGGAGCCTCACAAAAACATCCTGGTCATAAATATGTCAGATCGTTGCTCGACTCGTTTGATATTGATGGACCTGAAGACAAACATCGGTGCCTCGTGCACCCTCCCTTATGGGAGAGTGTGTTGGCTTTTCTATTTCACAACCCGATACGGAGACTGCCTACACCAGTTCTAGTTGTTGTGCTTCACCGTCTGTTTTTGGCACTGGACTACCTACATACAGAATGCAAGATTATACATACTGGTCTGTGCTCCTATTCTGCCTTCTGCTTCTATTATTTACTTGGGAATGCCACCAGACATTAAGGCCGACAATATCATGTTTAGCATCGCCGATGATTCAGTTTTTAGTGATTTTGAAGAGAATGAGCTTCGGGACCCCTGTCCTAGGAAAGAGGTAGCCGGAAGGACAATTTACATTTCCCGGGAACTTAGAATACCTAAGAAATTAGGTGCCCCGGTCCTATGCGACTTTGGCTCGGCCGTACTCGGTGATGAGAAGCACTCGGAAGACATACAACCTGATATCTATCGAGCACCAGAGGTAATTTTGGAAGTTGCGTGGACATACAGCGTTGATATATGGAATGTGGGATGCATGGTAAGACAATTAATCCTATAATAATGGTGCAAAGCTTCTTAAAACTTATGTTACAGATTTGGAATATATTTGAAGGCGGGTCCTTGTTCACTGGCCAGGACCCAGAATTTCAGACTTACCGGAGTCGAGCACACCTCGCCGAAATGATACGTCTTCTCGGCCCGCCGCCGCCTAGTCTTCTTGCACGAGGGAATCTGACCCAAAAATTCTTTTCGAAGGAAGGTAAGTCAACTGCTGTCTTATTATTCAAGGCGGGTATCCACTCATTATGTCTGACTTTCTAGGTGACTTCTGCGCGGGAATTCCAGTACAAGAACATACTCCGCTCGAAGAGAGGGAAACTACTCTTGAGGGACAGGAAAAGGAGAAGTTCCTCTGCCTCGTACGAAAGATGTTACAGTGGGAGCCAGGAAAACGAAGCTCTGCTAAGGAACTCGAAAAGGATGAGTGGTTGCAAACAGAACTACATAAATAGTCTGAGGTCCATGTACCTATGTCCGTTCTACCATTTCAGCTCGCGCTGACCAATGAAATAGGCAGGAGCTTTCGTGCAGCACCTCCTTGAGACATTAGGGCTCGTTCCAGAGGAAAAGAGAAACACGACACTGCTTACAGAACCAACACGGACCCCCTGATTCGTGCTCTTACAGTGTTGGTAAAAAGATTTGGAACCCCCCCCCCCCCCTAAAGCCATTATTCCTAAAGGATCACTGCCCCCATGCGTAGTATAAACAACGCGCATACAGGTACTATTTAGTAAAATTTTATCTGCGTTCTAAAGCTGAAATGTGGAGAGCATGGCGGGAGTTAGCGCCCATATTTCAGCTTCTATTACTCCGTAATAATAACCGCGCGCCTTCAAGGCCCCATCATAAACGGAGGACGAACCAATGCAAAATTGATGGTTTGCCTGTGCTTGAATGCGGTTGCCGGAGCACCTAGGTGCCATAGAGATACAAGATTAAAGCTGCCCAATAAGGCTGAACTTTATAAGGCTCTATTATTTAAAACCTATCTAGTAATAATACTAGATATTATTTAAGATTAGAAATAATCTCTAATATTATTATTTCTAGCTTATATAGGCTATCCCTAATGATATAGTATAACCTGGCGTGGTAACCACTCCTGGGCTTTAGTCCGTGCGCGCCATACAAAGTGATAAAGGTCTAATTCTTTCTATTCTAGTAAAATAACTAGGTTAAAACTTGAAATATAGTAAAATTCTAATTTAGAGATAAGTAAAATAGGGGTAAACTAACTAGTATAGGAAAAATAGAAAGATACACTCTTTGAACAAATATCTGGCATAAGCCTCCTGCAGCTGCGCTAACTTATTTTGTTCCGTACGCGACTCAGGTAGATAGACTTCCGAGTCATGACGACGGTTATCTCGGACTCGGAGTTATCAATGTCGACCCAGTTCGGAGCTAGGCTGTTTTTACCTAGGTGATATCTCCAAATGCTCCACCCGAGCGCCCTTGCTTCGGCCACACAACGCGCAAATGCCAATGTACATAGATCTGACTGGTGCCCGTTGGTGCTTTTATGGAGTCACATTATTAATAATCACTCAGGGATAACTAACTAGTTAGATCAAGGTGCAGTGCCAGTCCAGTTCAAAAAGGTTCTGCCCCCTTTTTGTTTCTTCATTCCGAGTTTCCCAAGCGTTTCCCAATCATGCAGTCCTTTCTCCAATATAGACACGCGGGCCGTGCGGCTCAGGCTCAGATTGACAGAGATGCGGAAAAGTTGAGACATGGCCAACCAGGTGAGAAATCTCCCGCCGGGTCCTCTTTTCCAAACCCCGAACCCTCGATTGGTTCGGGATCCCCCATGCCAGATGATAACATCGAGGAGGGTATCACGAACATCGAGCGCAGTCACACAATTGAAACTGTGATCACGCGCTATTCTGAGGGAACTGCCCTTGGTCATGCGTTGACGGGAATTCGTGTTCAAGATGTGCACAACCATAGCCATGTAGGGCGCAGCGGGAGGGTATTTGTTGTCAACTGGGAAGGGCCTAACGACCCATTGAATCCCCACAATTGGTCAATTGGTAGACGCATTGGCGTCACTTTACAAATTTCTATGATTGGGCTCTTTGTTACAGGTGCATCTGGAATCGACGCAACAGTACTCCCGCAAGCAGCAAAGGCGCTTCATGTTAGCGAAGTTGCCGAGTCACTAGCTACAGGTTTGTTGGTACAATTAGTCCGTACGAAGAATATGCGCTCACTGTTTCTAGGATTGTACCTCGTTGGAATGGGACTTGGGTCTCTGATAGCTGGTCCTTTCTCTGAAACGTTTGGGAGAAATGTAGTCTACATTACTTCTATGGCTGTCTTCATGATATGGATTATGGCTTCTGGCCTTGCTCCCAACTTTGGTGCCCAAATCACGTTCCGTCTGTTGGCTGGATGCTCCGCATCGACACCTCTGGTCTGCTCTGGAGGCTCAATCGCCGACATGTACAACAGCATTGAGAAGACATGGAGCTTCCCTCTGTACGCTATCGTATCGTTTGGTGGGCCGATGATCGGAGCGGTTATGGGTGCTTACATTGGGCCCTCATCCGTCAGCTGGCGTTGGGTAGAATGGTGTACACTCATCGCCGCTGGTCTTGTATTGATACTCGTGGCTTTCTTCATGCCCGAGACATATGGGCCATTGTTGCTACAGTGGAAGGCTGCCCACTATCGAAGAATTACCGGCGATGATCGCTTTTGTTCCGAGCACGAAATTGCTGATGCGACTCTGTTCAGTCGGCTCAAAGTTAGCATGACACGTCCTTTTCGGATGCTCACTGAGCCTATTATCATCGCAATGACGCTGTACTTGAGCGTCTTGTATATCATTCTGTTCACCTTCCTCGTCGGCTGGCCGTACATCTTCGAAAAAACATTTGGCCTGGACCAGGGACTTGCCAATATTATATTTATCTCCATGTTTCTTGGCACCGAGGCCAATTTTGTATTGGTTCCAATTGTCTACCGGATGACCCTCCAGCAAGCCAAGCGGGGACAGGGAGAAGGGAATCATCTTTTCAAGCCTGAGACGCGTCTGTGGTACGCCATGTTTGGTGCAGCAATTGCAGTCCCGGTTTCGCTTTTCTGGCTAGCCTGGACCAGTTTTGCGAGCATCAGCGTCTGGTCCTCAATTTTTGCTGTGGCGATGTTCGGTTTCGGCATAACCGGTGTGTTCATTTGCGTCTACATGTACATCATCGACTCGTACGAGATTTACGCGGCCTCCGCGCTCACGTTTGTCGCCTTGACGCGATACGTTGTTGCGGGAGGAATGACAGTGGTTGGCATCCCATTCTACGAGAACATGGGAACACACCACACCCTGACGATTTTGGCGTGCTTAGCGTCAATTCTTGTACCAATTCCTTATGTCCTTTATTATTATGGACACTGGATTCGATCGAAGAGTAGATTTGCCGTGGCAAAGTAATCATTGCTGCGAAGAGGTTTCTAGGGAGCATAAACCAAGATTGCTTAGATAGCGTTGAATGTGATCCCAGGTTTTCTAACTTAGTTTAATGGGGAATTTCAATAGAAGATGACAAAAAGGGTGTATGGAGAAATGGACACATTACCTAGGTAGATTCATATTGCTGTTGAAAAAATGGAAATAATAGTCATACAACCGTCATATATGCTCTTGCCACCATGAAAGCACATGTATTACTCCAAAAGAAGGCCCCAGAAGACACAGCAAAGGTCGATATCTCAACATGTACGGCACAGGTTTACATCCCACTGTTACGATGCTTGCGTCTTTAATACTTGAAGTGACTACAACCTGGGGCTCTATCTTTCTCGCATCTTTCAAACGGTCATCATGGATTTGCCCTTCTTTCGCTTAGTCTTGAGCGGCCTAGCCAGTATGAGCTGAGCTCTTAGAGGAAACAAGAGCTCCAGGATTAGGGTTTGGGTCCCATCACTGTTATTGTGAATGATATGTCCGCTCCGTTCCTGCTGCAGGAAAAATATCAAAATATCAAAATGGTATAGTTTATTGCCTGAACCCTGATGCAGATCTACAGAACTTATCTCAAGGGGATACCATATGCATCAGGTAAGTCCCGTATCTTCTTTCACATTAGATTGGGATTTGAATAGCCTCTAACATTAATAATCCCGCTCGCCACACATAGGCCCCCAGGAGGCACCTATATCCCCCCGACCACCACAGTCGGTGCGGCAAACCCGACAGTATTCACCACGACGGCAACTCCAGGTGATCCTACTGTTAGCGGCATGATTCCAAATTGTGGGTTGTATTACATAGTTGAAAAGGGGGATATATGCCATGATGTGGCCGTTCGCTTCTCCCTACCTTCCAACCTGGTCATCAAGCAATTCACACCCTCCCGTTAGATCCCCATTTATCACTACAGCCTGGGGTATTGTCGCTACCTTGACGGGCATTATGCAGGGCTATAAGAGCTTGGTAGCCTGTCATGTTATTATCGGAGCTTTGTATTTATCCAACAATGTTCCACACCAAACGCCAATAAGCTCTGCGAATTGGTTATCTTTTCGTGTCTGCTGCTCTTGCTGGATCCATTGGTGGACTCTTTGCCTATGGTATTGGTCACATGGATGGCCTGGCTGGTCTTCGTGGCTGGCGTTGGATCATTATCCTCGAGGGGATTCCCACTTTCATGCTTGGGATCTCGATCTGGTTCTGGATTGCTGATACGCCAGATACTTCTCACTATTTGACCATGCAAGAACATGAGCTTATCAACCTGCGCATGCGCCAGCAAGTCGGACACACTGGATCTTCAGACCAGATGCACAAAAGAGATGTCTATGAAGGATTAAAAGCCTGCAAAATCTGGCTGTTCTGCATTAGCCAATTTGGTGCACATACTATCCTCTACTGATATTCCATATTTTTGCCTACCAATATCAAGGGGCTCAGTGACTGGACATTAGCTATATCGTCGTCGCGTGGTTCTCTGACCGCAGGCAGAGACGTGTAATGTTCACGGTACTCTTCGGACTAACCTCTGTAGTTGGGTACAGTATTCTCGTGAGTACCGCACCTAGGGGCGTCAAATACTTTGGGTGCTTGCTTGCCGCCATGGGACTGTACTTGATTGTGGGTATTCCTCTTGGATGGCTCCCAAGTAACAATCCCCGTTATGGGGAGCGTACATTGGCAACTGCTCTCCGAGGCAGACAGCTTTACACCAGCTTGACACTACCAATGCTGATTCTTCAAAAATCGATACAGTACTTAGATGCTTTTGGACACATTGCTGACAATAGTTTATTTCAAAGGGTGGGGCTATCCCCAAACTATTGAAGAGTTTCCAAAGGGGTGGTAATGTGTGCGCTTGTTGATAGGCTAAACCAGTGAAATGTTGCTGATGATGATGACACCTACTCCTCCTTCCTGACCACGCTAGCGGTATATATCGGCTTGTTTTTGTCTCGTTGGCTGTTCTTGTGCCGCCCAAAAGACCCCGAAGGAATTAGCCAGAGAGTAAATTCGCCTTTTGGACGAATACCGGAGAAGTACTCCCTAGGGCGTCTACTCCACTACTGTGCTACTGAATCACAGATTGGCGCCAAAAATAGCTCTTCTTGCAAAACTTGATTCACCGTTTCACGTCCTCATGAGTAGGCTCGTGGCCCCCCCGCTTTCCCTATCTTACTACTATGTACTCCGTACGTACCCAAGTATTTATTTACAAACCTCTTAGGGCTGCGCCGCAATCAGCTCAGCCTTCACTCAGCCTGGGGCTATTATGCCCGATGATCGCGATGTGAGATGCCGTTCTACGGCTTGTCTTATAATCGTAGAGAAAAGACGATGAAATAGAATAAGAATGGGGTAGTTATTTATTAACGGGTCACAATACTGGAATACTAGTAGTCCCCCGTAAGCATGTGGGTTGCGAGGCGTCCTATAGCATTAAGCGGATGGGCCTCCTGATATGAGTATTTCGATTGCCCCGTGCATTTCGAATCTTTCATTATTTCCTCTCTGTCTCTGGAAACCGGGCACGACTACAAATTCCCCGCATCCCTTAACCAGACCCTGAACGCTTCGTCATGATGCGAAAAAAAGAAACTTATACCATCGTCACACCCATCCCTTCCTGCGTTCCTCGCCAACTGGCTATTGACATCCTCCATAGCCATAGCGAGATCATTACACTCAACCCACTGGTGCTGTCCCACCGCCCGATCAAAGCCCCGCGAGATGCTGCCGCGGACGAGTACTACTCCACGTGGTATGAGATTACCGAGCGGGTCCAATATGTTCCCGGCATAGGAAAGATGGGGTCCGGCAAGATCAAGTTCAAGGGCTGTTTTCACAACGTCTCCTGGGGGCTTCAGACGCACATGTATGCTCCCATGGGAATTGACCTCCAGAGCAAATGGCGTATCGGGGGTAACCAACCTGATGAGCCGCCTGAACTTCAGGAATCTCATTTAGGGAATGCCCCGAAGAATGGACTCTATCTCCGCGAGAATATCGAAATAGAATGCAACATCACACTCATGTCATTTGTCAAAAATCAGTTGAAGGCGTCCTCAAAGGTGCTGGTGGATCGCTTGATTAAGAAGGCCGAACTTCTCGATGCAGGCGTTCTACAGGCGATGATGGAGGACGGGAAACTAAGGACATTTAACCCTGCCGATCGATCAAGCAGGATATCATTGCAATCTCCATCGCGGTCACTATCACTACAGCAAGGTCAAATGTCACCGACATTGCCCTATAATGTCCCAACGTCGCCGACTGACTGCGTACGACTGAGCTCGGTGCCTGAGAAGTCTTTTTTACCCTTCAATTACGGACAAGAATGCAGTAAAGGTGTCGCAGTGGAGTTACCGGCCGACTCTTATTATCCAAACCTCCTGGAATCCAAGAAATGGCACGAGTTGTCGGATGTCGACAGCGGCCGACATTTCAAGTCCAGAACATTATCTAGCTCACATAGGGACTCAAATACTACGACTGGCTTGCTTTCCTCCAGATCTGACGAGAAATACCCTGCGGAATTGTCCACAAGGAAAGAGAATAACCGTTACCATAACTGAATCACCTACTTTTGTTTTCGAAATGATTGAAATTCGTATAATTACCCGAAGCTAATATGAACCTCCAACTGCCTCGCCTTTCCAGCAACCTTATATTGTTTATAGGGAAGATACCCCCATGCTTCATTCATCGCTGGGCCCTTTGGGCACAGTTGGCTTCGAGGATCCAGGGTTCATTTGTTTCATGCAGAGAAATTGTTATCGAGTTCAGCAACAGGGAGCTCGTGTGTTACGCATCTGAGTTTCTCAGCCTTGGGTGATTGCAGCATTTTATTTTTACGGACCAAAGCAAATCGGCTTCAGGGAATTGTAAAGTATAAGTATTGCATCCACTTACTTACCCTTGTCCGAATCCCAATCTTCTTCCCTTTTCTTTCCCTGCAAAAGTAGGATACAATGGATAGCTTTGGTTTACTTTATTTCTCCTTTGTGTTTTCGTCACAAGTTTCTGGTTCCTGGACCTATATTCCCCCCTCCCGGACCCTTGTTTCTCGTTTCGCCAGATATTCTCAACGGTTCAATCACACGGTTTTTTTGGCATACGGGGGAGAATCAAATAAGGGTTTCTCACCTGGTTCTACCTTCCTCGTGAAGTAAAACCTACTCGCTTCTGGATAGGGGTTAGCATCTGGAGCCGTTGTGCATTGTATCACAGCAGGTGACAGCATGGATCCCATAAGCACCGACGGTAACTGCGGCTCAAATTCAGATACCAACACAACATGTCTCACTTCCGAATTCGGTAACTGCTGTTCATCAAAGGGATTTTGTGGAGGTACTTCTGCCTATTGTGGTGAAGGCTGCCAGACTGCCTTCGGGAAGTGTAGCTCCGCGAGCATACATACAAATAGTCAGCACACAGGGATCGTGTGGGTCTACATCGACAAGGAACATTACCTGTCTAGGGAGCATCTACGGAAATTGCTGTTCGGCTTTGGGATATTGTGGAGGGAACGCCAGCTATTGCGGGACAGGTTGTCAAAGTTCATTTGGATCGTGTGATTCAACAAAGCCAAGTTCTTCAGTTTCATGGTCGGCCACCCCTTCGAACCCAGAGAATGTGTCCAAAGATGGGAATTGCGGATCCAATTCTATGACCAACGCAACATGCCTCAAAAGTAAATACGGCGCTTGCTGTTCTAGCCACGGCTTTTGTGGTGGGAATGCAAGTTACTGTGGCACTGGTTGCCAATCTAAGTATGGAAGTTGTTCAATTGCAACGATTCCGGCAGTCCCAACACCATCTCTAGCTTCCGTCTCTACCGTCAGTAGTCTCAGCAAAGGTGCCATAGCTGGGATTAGCATAGGCGCAGGAGCTTTTGGATGCGCAATGCTGGGGTTGTTAATGTGGTCTCTATTCGCTAGAAAGAGAAGATATTCCACAAACGTCGACATTAAACCAATATCCAAGAGTGATGGTTTTACAAACGAAATGGATGGGAGAGGCATTTCTATCCCTGTAGAGCTTCCCACTAGTAAATGACCCCCCCCTCCCTTAGAAGTAAGATAACCTGATGGATGGATGATGTTCAAGCTATACGTATGCATACGTTTTATGAAGTTAATAGGCTATTTCTATTTCCTTAAACTTGAATCTTTATATATTGTGCCAAACCCCAAGCATGTGATGTGATCCGGTTCGCGCAAATCATAGCTGTATAGCCTGTATAGCCTGTATAGCCTAATCCCAGATAGTTTTCCTAGAGATAAAATCATACCTGGTATAAGAGGTCAATATATTAATCAAATGGCCTGCTGTCATTGATTCTAGTTATTTGAATATATACCTAAAACTTGTTTTGATTGATCTTGTTTTTCTTTCTCTTAATTCTGTCATAAAATATCTACCTACAAGATAGATACTATAAATCATTTAGAATACAAGGGAAAACTCTCTTATATTGGTTCATAATAGCGGCGGCTATATGGTAAATCGGGGATACGAAATTATCAACCCCCCCGCCAAAAGAACCCAAGTTACATTGGCCCCGGAAACTCAGGTAAATTCCGAAGATGTAATCTACATATTAGTTGTGGTATCTGGAGTGACAGGATACACATCTTCCCCGTAGGTTGAGTTCAATGCAACAGACCCCACAATATCCCCTGACTCCAAGCGAATCCAAGTGTCTAGCTCCTTATGCTTGAGGAGAGACTCCGTCACAATTACCTGTCTAGATCCACGAATCCAGCTGCCATACCCACCGTAGCCAGAGTGTTGGCCAAAACATAGATTCACTCCATTGCCCTTAATAGTCATACCGGGAAGTAACTCATTCCATTTATAACACCATGTATCGCCGTGGTCATGGCCGGAAAATACGGCAATAAGTCCTGGAGTTTCAACCAGGGCTTTCATGAATGGAACATCCTGGGCACCATAAGAACAGGAGTCACTGTTTGTACCATCTTCACACCATCCTTGCGCCTGCTGAGCAAGGATATAGTCATCATTGATGCCAGGTTCATGGGTTTTACTGATGCCAATCTCGGTTTGGGCTGCCTGCGACGCATTTGTAGGGATGTGAACAAAGGCGAGGGACGGGATAACTTTCTTATGCTTGTGGTGCAGATGTTTGCTTGTTTCCCTGAACCATTTGACAACACTAGCATCCACCCAGTTCGGCTGGGGAATTTCATTGCCGGACGAGTCAAGTTCCTGGAAGTAATTTCCTCCGCGACTATCGAAGAACCATAGAATCATTTTGGGGGCATGGTGGACCGCATCCTTACCAGCGCCGTAGACAGGAAGGTAGTAATTAGTTACTCCCGCGTTCCGGTCGAATACCATTTGTTGGGTACGGGCATTTGGCCAGCGTCGTTCTCTGGCCAATATGGCTGTGCGAGACAGGTTGTACGCGCTATCGTGATTTCCATACGTCGACGCCCAGGTCAGTCCACGATCAACCAGGGGCCCAACAATATCATCTATATAGACCGTTGCATTCTCGAGGAATCCATTTTCTCCCGTAATCAGATCGCCATTGAGGACAACAAGGTCAGGGCTTTCCTTGTTGAGGATCTCGTTAATCACAGTGACCGACTTGCGGTCCTGTTCAGGGCCCCACGTATCCCAGGCATCTACATTTATATTAGCAAAGAAACAAATGATTGGAAATTTTGACTGAGTCTCACTCTCTCCAAAGTGTAAATCTTCAAAAATAGAAATCTGGAAGGTTCCGTTCTCTGAGAATTTAAGTGGGCTAAATTCCGTAGCTCCTTGAGCATAAACGGACGGTAAAACAAGCAATGCCGTGGCGATGATTAGGGACCGCATCTTTCCGACGTAGAGATATACCACTGTAAAAAAAGAAAAGGGGAAGGGGATGACCTCGCCGACTTTATAGACGTCAGGTTTATTAACGCCCCCCTCCTTTTTATTATCATCCACCCAGTTCGAATTTACACTGCTATGTAGCAGCCGAGAGGTTGCCGGTTCCAATACACGTGCCTGCAAGGGTAATATCTAATGGTCTCCCAGTTCATAACTGGGATTAATGTAGATGAATAGTGGGTTATTAGCGCGCTTTACCAAAGCATAGTATGAATCTTATTAATGATTGTATACTTGGTCGTAACGAGATCTGACACTCTCTTACTATCGTATACTGTATTCGGGAATCGGAAAATGCAAACATTACATTGAAATATTATTTCCTAACCTAGAAGGGGAAACAGGAAGAGAAAAAAAAAACCTCCAACTACTCTCCGGCATCACGCGCTTGCCGGAGGGATCGGTTAATTCATAGTACATGAAGACTATCCACGGTTTACACCACAAGGACTGTCGGTAGCTGTAGATACAATTATCAAGTATTAATTTACCCACACAGCGAGGCAATGTCGTCGGGAATATAGGGCTTCATGATATTGATAAGATCAGAGAGCGGAACCCAGTCAAGAGTGCCATGAATTGTCCTGACTGGCTCTCCGCTGTACAGAACTCTGGCGTAGAAAGCGTGCTCCTTATGCTCAGTTTCCCTGTATACTGTTAGCATCGGCCCAAGCGCAAGTGGTTCCGAATAAACCTACCAAACTTCAAATGCAATATTTGAGCCCATACCAGGCCAGCGCAGTGCAGTAATTCCCAGCGATCCCAGGACCGGGCCAAGATCCCCGTCATGGATGAATGTGTGGCTGTAATCCAGAGTGGAGGTCTTATCCAAGACGGCCTGAAGATGAGCCACGACTTCTCCAATGTAGAGGCCTTCGACAACTTGAATATATTTCTTCGCGTAAGGGTTAGTACGCCAGTAGTAATTCCATTCCCAGTCTCCTGCACGGAAGACCTCTTCGGCCAACTGCATGGTTACACAATCGGAAGAGTTCTCCATATTACAGGGCAGCTCATACCCATTGCAAAGCCTGGCCTGGAAGTTGTCCGAGAAATGATCGAAGGTGCTCTGCCATGAGGATGAGGTCGCTCCCAGCATAGAACCGAGAGTCGACCGGAGCTCTTCAGTTACGGTCAGGTGCTCTGCCCATTCTGATGTCGATTCGAGCTCACTCAAGGTGTTGCCAATAGCGGAACAAGAATATCCTTCATTGACTGTATCAACTGAAGGAGTCATTTGATGCAGGGGTAGAGCACCGTGATAATCCGGCCACACACCGCGCAAAACTGCTCCGGCGCTTGCCTGGGTCAGGGGAGACTCGCTGGAGCGGAACCAGACACGTTTGTTGGGCTTCTTAGGAATCAGGCCTAGTTTGTGGCCGTAGACTTCCCATAAGTCTTTTCCGTGTTGATATCCATCCTCAACGCCACCGACAGTCAGCTGAGGAAACTGGCAGGTTCCGTTGACATCTGGGGTAAGCGGATTGGTGGGATCCTGATATGTCTGGGCGTACACTGGCAAGGGCTGCATCCCACTGTCACTTGCCGGGCCGGAGTAAAGGTAGGGCCGAACATTGTCGCATTGATAAGCTTGATTCTGGGGTTGAGTATTAGTACGAGAGCATTGTAATCGAGGAGGAGGTGCGAATTTTGAACTTTACCTCTCCACCTGGTAGAATATTATAGGGAGTGCGGCGCTGGTGGCGCTGCAAATACTCCAGGTAAACTAGTTTTCCCTTGGTGGAGCCGTTCACAATGGCCTGCGGCATCTCGTACTCCTTTGCACGAGGATGTGGCATGGAGCAGTAATCATAGGTTCCATAAGCACCTCCATCCGCTGGGCCTTTGACAGGTGCGCTATAGATTCCTCCATAGGTGCCGATGGTAGTATCAGCAATATAGGAGGTCGCATTCAAAGTGGGAGGGTAAAACGTGTCTCCGCCTGTCAGTCCAGCAACGGGACGGACGAGGGCAGTAGTAGCCACAAGACTCAAGACAGCACTGAGCATGGTTGTTAATTGCGAAGCTCGTCGTGGAAGTATTTTTTTTGGGGTTGCTAATTGTTCTCATGTTGCCCGTGGGCTGTGCAGAATATAAAAGGCGATGTCGAGAAAGGATGGGAGCTTCCATCATTAAGGGCCCACCAGGAAAGAAGCCAGTGGTAAGATTAAGATCGATACACGTGGAAACAAAGCCTAGCACGTGGAATGGAGGCTTCGCACGTGGAATAGAAGCTTAGCGCTTTGCAGACCGAAGGATGCGGAAGGAGCGGATGGGATTTTTGGAGGCATGTTTCATACTATACATACCTCGGCATTGTAAGACACGATGTTTCCCGCATGAATTCCTGGCTCGGAAGTTAAATACAACTCCAGCGCGACACCTGGCCTCTATCTAGCGCCGCTTTGTTAGGTTGGATCCCATCTTGGCTTCTTTTAAAAATCGCGAAAAAAAAAACGCAATTATGCGCGGTTTATTCTCATTGATTGTGACCATCGCGGTCTCCTCGCCCTCGCTAGCTATTGCTTCCTCATTATCGGACCTTGCGCTGGGCAAAGTCCTGCAGGATGCTTCCCCCATCTTCGGGGACTATGTCAAGAAATCGCACGGCAAGGCAACCTGGATGAAGGCCTACTCGGATGATACTCTGCTGGTGCACATGAACATACCAGGTACACATGATAGCGCGACCTGGAACTACACACAAGCTACCCAGGATGCTCTTGAAAGCATCACCGCCCTGAACCAGGTGACAGCTCCTGTGCCGGAGACTTTCCGATGCCAGGATGTCTCATTCATTGAAATGCTTGATAAAGGCATCCGGGCATTCGACTTACGCTATGCTTTTGATCCCACCAATACCACGCTCATTTTTTACCACTCCCAGGCCTTGCTTTCTGAGACTGGAACGGTTGACAACGTGCTTTTTGCGTTCTACAAGTGGCTTGATGATCATCCATCAGAGACTATCTTTTTGTCCTTTCAATATGAAGGGTCAACGGCGCTATATGCTTCCAACGACGCAGCGGTGCAGATGCACCTCTATAATGCTTTAACATCAGAAGCTGCACATCGTTATTTTCTTCATGTGAACGGTGAACTCGGGACGTTGGGCAAGGCCCGCGGAAAAATCATCCTCATGCGACGGTTTGACCTTGATCAATTACCCGCATCCTACACAGATGCCCTCCCAGGACTCCATTTTTCCCCCAGCCTGTGGACGGATAACGGCCTAGACATTGCACTGGTGTACAACACAGAGAAGAATTTAACTGCCTACATTGAGGATTACTACCAGCCCTTGACGCCAATGGGCTCTAGTGCTGCCGAAAATATCCGCTGGAAGTACAACGCCACGACTGCCCACCTCACCAAGGCTGCTACCACGCATCCCAATAGCCTGTTTTGGACTTGGGCGTCAAGTGAAAACACGGATAATGTCCCACAAGTCTGGCCAAGCATCATGGCTGTTGGAAATGGGACAGCTTATACACCCGACGGCGGTGTCAATCAGCAGCTAGTGCCATTCCTCAAGCAGCACAAGGGTAAGCGTATGGGGATTGTGATGTTCGACTTTTTCGAACAGCCTTCAGATCTTATCGACACTTTCCTCAGTCTTTAGAATATCCAACATGTACATTATACCGCAGATTAGCAAAGAGTCACCGTGATACTATAGGTGGAAGGCATGTATAATGTAGAGCATATATAACCACAATTGTGATTGACCATATAGCCTGAAGACATGATCAAACTCATTCCATATATGTTACTTGTGCTGTTTATAGTACATGCCAAATGTACTCCGTACTTATCAAGTACCAATCATCTATAGCCAATCAAAATCCTAGTTTACCAGGTAGCCATTCAGAAAACGGCTTGTTGCATTTAGATCCTTGGAATGAACTAATGCTCAAAATGATATTACATGAATAGAAGCTGGAAACCACGGCTTCTTTACACCCATTTAATTGCCGGCTGCAGGTACATACATTATCATTCATGTATGATAAGAAGAATCCTATCCAAAGTCTTAAGACTTTTACTTCTTTATATTAGTTTTAACATATTAACATTCTAAATAAATTAATATGAAATGGTTCAATAAATTATCTTTTTTGAGCTCAGCATTATCCGCTCAACCACTTCGCGAATCACCTATAGGTATTTCCCCCATGCGCCAGTCCTCCTCTCCTGCACCTGCTCAATTAATAGAATGGTACCTCGTGCAACCGAGCAATTATCTCACAATTACCCGAGGGACGTGATGTAATATTCAGGAGGACGCGGTTCCATGGGATACGAGTCAGATGCCGTCGTTCCAGAATATTGTCGGCTTTATCCGCAAAATTCCGGTCACTTGCAAGGCGAATTTCTTCGATGTGATCTAGATCTATAGGGCCCATGGCTATGTATTTTTTTTTAGACACGTGTGAACGCTCGTTTTATCATTTTATTACTATTTACAACCTAACTAAGCTATCTAGCTCTCTCCAAATGTCCAATTGATCATACCGAAGCTCCTTCTAGCAAAGAAAATACCATATGTAAATGTCAGCAGGATATAGAACTGCTCATTGCATTATCTGATTAGTATACTGTGGGCGGTTAGAGGAATTGCAACACAGATAGTTATAATGGATCAATCCTCCTTACTAAATAGTCTCATTAATATAGGAAAGAGTAACTGAACGAGAGTTGCTTGACCAAGCGGGCGCTGAAAAATTCGCCATGGCTAGATCGTTGGAGTAGATCCTACCATTGGCTTCTACTTGATACCCATTTTGCATCATTAAGCAATAGAATGTGCGCTACAATTCAGAGGTACAAGTACACATACACATTGGAAAAATGAGAACCACACCAAAAAAGTAAGGGATTTACTACGGTAGAGGTCACAGATAATGGATGATGGAATTTCCAAATAAGTATCTACCCCAGAGAGAATTAGTAAAGTCAGCATTCTTATGACAAGGTAGGTGTACTCGGACCAGCTATTTCTGAGCCCTCGATTCTACGGCATGAATCTACAAGGCATGGGGCAATGATGAAGAAAAAATCGCGTGGGTTTAACATGGTAGGAACCTAGAACCGTATCCCAAGGAAATGAAGGGATGATGGAAATAGACTAAAAGGGAAAAACCAGGTTATTAGTTCGGGTTGCGGATCTTGATGGAAGATAATACATGCTATCAGGGCTCCTTGATCCCGCGGGATAATACGTCCAATTCATAAACCTCGACTACACCTGCAGCATTATCACGTACCTTGAAAGAGGTTGAATAAATTCAACTTTACCGTTCGGCCAAAAAGGTGTCAAGACAACCATTTCTAGCTGACACAGTATTATATTGGTCCACAGGAAGCTATTTCGGTTCCTAGGGTGTCAGGAGTTGTTATTCCAGCTTGGAAGATATTTGAAGTATGCGTCTCCCATGTAACATTACAACATATATATCAAACATATTGTTATAACCTCAAGAAATCACTCCAGTATTCCCAATCCAAATCGGCGTCCATAATGAAATCGGAAATTATGGGGGTCGAAGCACCTTCAATAGCCTTTTCTTTTCTCCTATCAGAAAGTAATTGAATGAATTGCGGATTGGCGTTGAGTTCTTGTGGTACTTCATCACGAACCAGCCCTTGTCTTCTGGCTTCCCACGCTTCCAGCGTCAAATCCCCCAGCGCGACAAAAAATCGGTTATCGCCATCAGAGATCAGTTTAGGGTGCTCATCGTAAAGGTTCTCCACTAGTCGCCACGCGAGAGCTACACGATCGCCCGAATACCGCCGTCGCAGCTCACTCAAAACGTAAATATAAGCATCAATCGGCGGTTTCGAAGTCATGTGGGTAAATAAATATGAAGCAAAATTGCAGTGCGTGCCCACATCCACCATTTCCAATGAAAGTAAGGCCGAATCAAAGAGTGTATCACTCTCTTCTTGCGTCAAGTATATCTTGCCATCATCACCGGCCGTACGCGATCTTGGATGGTGGACCTTAAATCGCAGGCGAGCAATTAAAAGATTGGCCATAGCGTATGCTGATCTGTGTAGGGGTATGCGTTTGTCGAGATAGCGAAAGTGTTTCGCTTGATATATGGTTTGAAGCTCATCAATAGCCCTATCTTCGAGCTCTGGCCACATATGATGCTTGACGGGGCCATGGATAATGTTCTGAAAAATCTCGGCAGCGGTGAGCGATGACCGAAGCCAGTTAGAAAGTTCGAATTTCATCAAGACAAATAACATCTCAGTTGGGCCCCTATGCTCGATAGGACATTCGATCATATCTGGATGTAAATCTGCATCATTAACGTTGAGCGGAAGGCGCAAATCACCGAATTCCCATGGTGATGGCCGTCTCCCTGGACTAGAAATCACTCGTACGCGGGAATCAAGGCCAAACAACTGCCACCACAGACGAATACGCATCTCCTTCTCAAAAAAGGAGACCTGGACTTCTGTATCATTTCGGTGTAGGCCTATCCTCTGGCCAATCCTTAGGGCGACGCCACTGAGAGTTGAAGTTAATTCAGACTCGGGGTCCGTTAGGAGAAACAGAACCAATGCCTGCAAAACCTCAAAATCTTTTGTTGTCGGAAAGTCAGCTGCAACTAGCGCACGGAGAGTTGCGACTCGATAACGTATCAGAAGGGTATCCCTGGCCTCACCTAAAGTGGACTGGGAGTAATCAGGAGATATGGAAGTGACAGCGAGAGTGTATATCGCAAACAAAATCGCCGTGAGTGGTTTGGATACGTTGGGTAGATCCCAACTGGCGTCCAAGATGCGCTGTTGCAGCGTTGGCACATGTACGATCTTTATGAGCGGGTTGACCCTTTCTACGAACGTCTGCCAGAGTCGATAAATGTTTTGTGGGCTAGGATGTAACTCATAGAGCTCAGGATGCGTGCCAGATAGGACGCAAGAAAACGGTGGTGTAGGATGCAAGCTAGGGTCATCTTTGTACTGGAGATTTTGAATAGGAGGATGCTTGAGCTATTCGTATTGAAGGAGTCAATTCGCACGGTACAGGGAGAAAAAGGGGGAAAGAGGCAGGGAAATGGTTTCTTCAATCGCTAACCTCTGGGCTTAAAATGGACCATAAACATCTTGACATGAGGTTAGTTCACGGTGACTGGAAAGCTGGGATCTATAGTGACTTGACTCACGGGTCGAGATTTACTGTCTGTCTCTCTTGTTGGTCACAATTCGAATGAATACGGTGTCCACCGGCTGATACAGCCACTGGCCTGGGAGAGCCAACTGCACGCGTCTTAACTTCCAAGCCGGAAGGCACCCAGGTATTTGCGAAGGGAGTGAAGTCAACATTGTGCTTGCGCATGAGATTCTCATAGCGGGCCAGCTGAGCGATCAGATCCTCGTCAGCAGCTCTCTTCCGGGGCCGATACGAATTCGGGGCCTCGTATAAGCATTGGGCTTGTGCCTTATGGCAGTTCGAACAGGGGTCCCCTTTATCGCATTTGACCTTCCGACGAGCACATAGTGAACAGGCATGCCTTTTCCCCCCTTGGGATGCCATTTGGGGAAGTCAAGTCATTCCAGATCAAAATGTAAGAAAATGCATGTCCGAAGCCATGATAACCAACGGTGATATATTTTCGTGTTAAATGCAGAACAGATTTCGGAAGACTCGGGTCCACAAACGGTTAAGCGCAATATATCTCGGGTCCGAAGAAGACAGTCTTAATCGGATGATGTTGGTGATGAGACTTATACCTACGGAGTACAGAGTATAACTTTTCCAGGGCTCACTCAAACTACTTTGGGGTCCCTGTGTTTCTTGTTTTCATTAGGTCTTGCACTCCTACAGCTTTTAGTATACCTATGCTTATGCCTTTCATTCCAGGCTTCAGATAAATATTTTCACACTAAATTCCTCTTCTCCTTGTACCTATACCTGGACGTCTAAATGTCACACTTATTCAAAAGCCACCTACTCCTCGCACCCTCTGGACGGCTCCGATGGCCCCCTTTGCCCAGCTGAATTTCCCCGGGTCAGTACCAAGAGAACCTTCGGGAATTTCTCCCGTTTTCGGATCGTGCCAGCATCCGTCCTTCATACTCACCAGTCCGTATTTGGCAGTGTTTTGGTTTCGGTTCACAGCATCCAACCATATGCGACAGATAGTGGACGAGTCATACAGGAGATTGACTTCCTGGCTGTGGAAAAATGACTGGGTATCCAAGTTCCCATTTCCTGATGGCGAGTATTTTTAGTGCATCATCATACCCACAGCAGCATCTGTAGACTGAAATTCACCTACCTTGTATAGCCACCTGTTCGTCAATGATCATCAATTTGATGTGACAACTTCGCTTCTTGTATTTGTTGGGAATTGGACGCGTTTGGTCTTTCCCAACGTAATTATAAATCTTTAATCGCGATCGCTCCTCATTGGTTTCCAGAGAGTGGTATAGACGGTTTGCAATCATTTCATTAGTTCCATTTTGGAATGGAAGCAGCTCGCCGGCATCATTGTAGCCTAAACATAAGTAGCATGTGACAACCACCCCGCGGCGGACGGCATCTAGAAGCGGCTTTAAAAAGGGCTCTGCGTTCATATTGGGTGTTTGAATGAAAATTGAGCGTTGGGCATGCTTAATGGCAGACAGGAATGCTGCATCTTGCGGCACATCTACGCTTGTATGATCAGGTACTATAAGGTCAATTAGCTCACTTAAGTTCAATAATCTAATGGGCATATTTGTTACTTGCCTCCGTAAGGTTCTCTATTTACCAATGCCATTGGAAAGGGCTCATGTGGCGGTAAGACCACGTATGGTTGCATTCGATTTTGTTGATCCTCATCAGGCGCGTCTCCGGTGGTCGAGGGCTGAATGGTTGTGTCTACCATATATCAGCTGTGATAAGCCTGTTCCGGATAGAGATGCATACTGAGATGGCGAGTTACTGCCTGGGTGGGTGACTCCCCTTGGCGAGGGCTAAGTAAGTTGTTCATTCTTCTGGTCTCGGAGCGAATGCTATCATCGTAATGGGGATCTTCCGTGGTGTGTTCCAGAAGTATCTCTCCATCTCCTACACCATCTCCGATATTACTTGCCTGCGTAACAACGCCGGGGGGTGAGGCCATAGCAGCAGGAGAGTTGAGCATGGGGAAAGGTGGCTCCAGCGCTTTCCCCCAAGAGATCAGAGCCGTGTCATAGAGGGAATCCACAATTGGGCCTTCAACGCGAACCATCATTTCCAGATTATCGTTATCTTGTATGTTGCTACTCTGGAGAAGTGCAACGTGACGATCTATAATCACGAACTTTGCATGAAAGGTCCCTAAGATGGGGCGATGGAAATTGATCACTTGCAGGTCAATATTCGGAATGTCGGCGGGGGCAGGGAGTTGGACTTTTTCGCTCATATATTTATGTTGGTGAACACTCAGGTGATTGTCAAACAGCTGGCGGGTTTGTAAGCTCTCTATGCAGTCCATCATTACCCAGAAGATAGGTGTAGCTAGCCTACCTGCCGAGGATCTCCCCGATCGTAGAGAATCTTGACGATAATTTTCGTGCCCCTTTGGCTCGCTCGCTGCGACAGCTCCCTCAATGCGTTGGTAATCAAAGTCGATGCGTTGGAGTAAAGCCAGTAGTTTGTCCCGAGAAAAACCTCCTTCTCAGCGCGCACAATGCAGTTCGCGATGTGACGGCAGAGGTCCGGTAACGGGGCGATGATTGTAAGAGGAACTGTGCCACTGCTCCCCATAAGTGGCAGAGACACAGCTCCTCCCGTTGGATTCTTATCGAGAACGCAGAGAGCATCATGATAAATCTACCCCCATGGTAGGTGAGTTATTGCAGATATCAGTGTACTGTATAGATTCCGGGTGTTTCTTGTTTTCTTTTTACCTGAAGAAACAGCTTGCTGGGAGTTGCAGTTCCCCAGTTTCCACACTGCGACGCCCTCTCCAGGTTATCGTCCTGTTCTAGGTCGGCTTCCACAGTGACTTGTTCCACATCAGTCTGTATGCCAGGTTTCGCAAAAAGTGCCCTGAAAACATCGTGAGGCACCTTGGTCGGATCTCTTGCCAGCTCCGAGCTCACCGTTCGGTCACTTTGGCACAGGTTGTATACTCTAGATGAGACCATTTTGCAAGGAATAGAGATATGATTTGAAAAGGATCTTTTCCGCGAAACAATTAAAGTAGCCAAGAGAATGCCGACAAGGGCGCTATAAAGCTTGACCAGCGGGTGAAAATGGAAATCAGGGGGCGTTGGGAGCTCGGAGCACTGTAACGCTAGCATGACTGAGGATCATTACACGATGCCTTTTATGACCTAGAAGCTAATACACCACAACGCTAAGTGACGATAAATCAAACGCCCAAAACGGCGACACTCAACGCCAGGGGAGGGGTCCTCTATGCTGTCCCGAATAGGCGCTTCGAGTTCCTTTGGCGTTCGCTCTTCTGTTAAGACATCCTGATAAGCCCTGAGGTTAGTTATTGCTGGCGCGAAGCACTGGAGGATCCTCACCGGAGTGGATTAACTATAATACGGGATCGCGTGACTACACGTGATCCCCCTATCAGACATGCTCAGATAGTAATCCAATCAACAACTCACTTCAACACCTAAAGTCGGGGGATACAGCTCGGCATGGGTAGAGATAGGCTCATCGTAGGTAGAAAATTGTTAGCGCTAGTTCTACCTACCCACGATGAGCCTATCTCTCCCCATGCCGAGCTCTATCCCCGACGGACCCTGTCCGTCCTTCCCTCCGTCAGAAAGCTTGAAGCAGCGTCCAACTTTGGACTGAGATTGTGGCCTCGCCCCACAAAAGTCCTTGTAGCCCGGCACTTCCCCACTGCCAAGCTTGCGCGGACATAATCATGGAGGTACTACTCCGTATCATCCCAAGTCACCCCATAATTTTTGATTCATCTGACAGACTCATTGGTTCTAGGCCGGACCTCTCACTCCCGAGACTTTTTCCCCAGAAGGCAGCACTATCAGCTGTCCAGGCTGGGCCACTCCGGTTCAAGTTTCCCAGAATGCCATCCGCCCCCTCACCTTCCCGAATATTCGCTTAATCAACATCGCAGCTTACGCTGATCTACCTAGCCTCAAGGCCAAAGTATCTTTGATGACAAAAATAGAAACTTCTGATGAAGAGATACTTGTTCGATCAACGCATCCTTCACTAAAGGGTTGCCACGAAGTTTCAGTTGTCGAGGGTGGCCCGGTAGACAGGCCTGTATGGCTAGTCAATGCGAGCGATGCTCACTGCATTGAAAGCACGCATGCGGCCGGCAGAGAGATTCACATTTTTCCAACGCATTTTAGCGAACCCCTTTCTTACTCTCATGTGCCGGTCCGAGACGTGAGTGTTGTGACGATAGATCCTCGGGCTTTTCTTTCACCGCAGGTCATCACATTAATCCGTGAAGCATTCCCTGGGTCCTCAGGCATCCAAATCATTCTCACTGGCTGGATTTTGGTTTTGTTTCCAGACAAGAAATCGGTAGAGGCGTGCTGGGCCAAGGGTGCACCGAACAACGTCGGGACCCTAAGGGTCGGATACATCCTAACGTCGTGTTGTGCTACAGCTAATGTCATCGAATCCGGTCAAGCTGTAAGCGATGCGCCAGCCAATATCGCGCGCCATGCAGCGCTAGGCCTCCGATTACGACTTCCGGGTGGCTTAGAAGCAATAACAACAGTCACGCATGCATTTGTTCGAGTTGCTAACCCTGGAATGTCCAATTTGAGGAAGGGCTTCATGGAATGGATTCTATCCGCGAAGCAGTACCTTGGGAGGTTGCGACCACCGCCAAAGCAGACCCAACATGCAGGCATTGTCCATTCGAAGGGGCTTTCAAATTCGCCGGTTGGCAAAGAAGTATGGTTGAGCGGAACCAATACTCAGGTATGTATTGGGTTACAAAATCATAATTATAACAAACAGCATTAACCTTACTACCAGATTGGCACTATCACTGTCACATATGACCGATGTTCACGTCATCACCTCATTCCATACCCTTATGGCTTCCAACATGATCTCAGTTTAGTCACTGGACCCAACCTCCCTCAGCTAACGAGCCCCCCCGGCACCCCCCGGGTGACTGAATGGGGCCCATACGAAGAGGCGCTTCAAGGCAGGCCGGTATTTTTACAACGCTACAATATCGCGACCGGGAGGTTTCATATTTACCAGGGCCATGGGATAACCGCGCAAACCCAACAGGCCATTATCCATGGGACCCAGTACAGCTGGGAGGAGAGATCACGGGGATTCAACACTGCCTTGCTCTGGAGAACGATACGTGATACTGATAGTGTTAAAGGAGCCTCAGACAGCGTTTTATGCCTAGGCAAGCCACATCACGAAACAGCAAGAGCACTACTCTTCCAAAACTTTGAGGGATCCCTAACAGCGAGTGAACATATTCAGATTGCTGACAACGGGGATGCGCCTACATTTAAAGGCGGGTTCCTCTTACCTGAACAGATTCGACAATCACAGATCATCACAGTCGAAAACCCATTTTCGAAAGTTTTCCGCACCCCCCAGAGGAGCTCTAATCTGGAGGCAGTGACACAGGAAAGCAGTATGACCGTCTAGAAGGGTTTGCGATACCAATGCAGCTACATAAAAACAACCTCGGTGGTCGCGCTGATCTTGTGTCTGTTGGGCCTGCGGTATGCAATTCAATATTTTTCGACACTATCCTCCGATAGTATTCCCTAGAAGAAGACTGAGTTTGCTTCATTATGACATCACTGGTGACCCAACCACGTGAAACTGGTTTTTTTTTTTTTTCTTTAATTAATTTGAAGTGACTCTATCTTTATTTTTCTCTTTTTAAACAGGTAATTTAGGAATATCTAGTCACTGTAGGATGTTTAGTTATTTAGCTGGCATAGGAACAGGTCGAGGGAAAAAAAGAGACGCGCTGATGATGTAGTCGTTGAATGCTCCCCAGCCTCCGCTTGCAAATATGTTCTACTGCTGCAGACAGTTCAGGTTTGAATCTAAATCATGCATCATTGATATTAAGTAAACACACTAAAAATTATCGACGGCTTTCCTGGCCACCATTTTGGCCGCTTCTCACAGGACCCTTCTTCCACCGGTCCTTTTTACCGGCCAAAATACTTCAATTCCAGATATCTCGCCGGGGCATAAGTCAAGGCAGTCACCACAAAAGTGATCTCATTCGCAACATCACCACCGGAGGCGCCAATCAGTTTAGCGAGAGGACCGATGAACCAGGTTTCATCCATTCCCATACACCACGCTACCACTCCTAGACAGAATGCGATCGCAGCGCCAATGCCCAACGGCAGCTGGCTGGGATCATTCCAGGCTTCCAGGTTGTAATTCTCAAACTTACCCTTGCGGAAAATAAAGTGCTCCTCAAACAATATAATGGCGTAGCTGGTGCACCAGTAACCGAGCAGGCTGAGGAAGTTCTGGAGATACTCATTCAGCCGTTGTCGACCACCCACAGCCAATGCCAGGATACAGGCAAAGCAGAAAATAGTCCACAGGAAACGAGGGATGCGTGCAAAGGGGCGTGCGAGCTGCTGGAACGAAATAGCGGAGCTATAGATACTAATAACATTCGTATTGATGCCAGAGAGCACCAAGAGAGTAAGGAGGAACTTGGCAAATCCTCGAGGGTGAAGCACGTCTTGGATGAGATAGCCCAGTCCTTGATTTTCATAAACGTCCTGCCATTCGGGTTTGTTGTTGAATCCAGAGGCAACGACACAGCCGGCAAGCATACCAATGGACGTCGGGATTGCAATACCGAAACTGGTCATAAGGAAGACTTTGATGCGGCTGACATTGGCAGGATAGTGGACGTAGTAATCACTGGCCATAGTACACCAGGATGCGCTTGAACCGTACACGACCGCCAACAGACTCAGCACGGAGCCGGACAGCGTCAGGCCCGTGTCGGTGGCAGGGGCTGAGTTGTCGGCATACCGACCGGTCTCGCCGAAGATGATGAGGAAGATGACGAAGAAGATGATCCAGGCGTATCGCTCATAAACCAAAATCGCATTCAATCCGACGAGTGAGATGGCCAGCGCCACCACGGCAAGGATGACAATGCCCAGAATTAAGGAAACGCGTCCATCCGACACCGCCGTCAAAGCTAGACCTCCCGTAATACACGAGACGGCGGCCCAGCCCATTTGCTGGATGCTGTTAAGCAGGGCAATCAGCTTATTAGGCCACCAACCGAAACTGTAGCGGCTCACACTGATCTGGCGCAATCCGGTTGCAGCACCAAATGTAGCGCAATAGCCTGTGACGGCTCCCCCAATGATGGAGGAGAAGATAGTGACAATGATTGACTGCTTCAAACTCAGTCCGAATTCCCACCCAAGGAACCCGGTCGCAAAACAGGAGGTGTTCATCGTTCCACTCGCCCACAGCAACGCCATCGTGAGTTCCTCGATCCATGATACTTCTCTCTTTTCTTCAGGTCGCTTGCGATCAATGGCTTCCGACTCCACTCCAAGTTTCCTGTCCATGCGCGCCTCCAAACTGCGGAGTTTGGAAAGAAGTCCTCCATCCTGCGACTGGGTTGTATTGTCGGAAGTCTCCGTGGTATTGGGGCTGGATGCGCCGTTTGAAGTGACACCCGGGACACCCTTCTCCTCGGTCACATAGCCGGCTTTGCTAAGGCCTTTCTCGGGATCAAGGGCCATATTGAGAGCTGATTGTTCTCTAGAGGAAAAGGGAAAAGGAAAAAGAAACTAGAAAAAAAATCTGTCGCGTGCCAATTAAGTAGTAGTGTATGGAATGCGGAGAACAGTGAAAATCGCCCTTGCGGGTAAAAAAAAAAAAAAAAAAAAAAAAAAAAAAGGCACAGAAGAAGGCAAAAAGAACGTCCAACAAAACGCTTCTTGACTGGGTACCGATGATACAGAGAACTGGCGAAGGAAGAAAGAAAGAAAGAAATCCTACATAAATAAGATCACCGCCTGTCCAACCGATACTACTTTATAGACTCCAGGTACATCAAATATGTGCGAGTAACCCTATCTTATGACAGACCACCACACCGTATGCACTCTTTGGCAGATTTGGGCAAGCAAAGCTTGTTCGGTTGTATTCAGAAAATACGCGGAGAAGCCATGTAGGGCCAATCATGGAGGATACCATAAGGCTTTTACCCACTTAGGGTCTTTAGTTTCCTTGCCTGATTGTGTTTTCGCCACTGTTATATTCGCTAATGAGAGGCCTCACAGCTATCTTCTCCTATCTCAAGACTTCAGCGCCGTGAATGTCTAGGATCTCTAAACACGGCTCTAGCTGCTTGATCTGAGAGTTGGCTATCTTTTCTTCCAGCTCCGGAAATTCTTACGATAGAGCAAGACAGACCAGGTAAATTGGGCCAGGTTGAACACGATTAATTCCCCCTGGACCATAGGGGCTCCATTTGTCTTCGGTTCCTTCCCGAGCGTGGTGGCCAAGAGGAAAATTTTTTCTAAACTGAACCCCTGGGCCCTGCCCCATTTATCTTTTCAAATCTCTGTATATCATTTTGGTACATGCAATGGATAGACATTGGCTCTGGCCTTGAAGATTCTACCAGGATATTACCCAAGTCCACTACAGTCGGTGATCACCTGACGCCCGGTCCCACCTGACGCCCGATTTCCCCTCACCGACTGTTTTTTTGATAATTTTCAATAACTTATATCTCAACCAATATGGGTTCAATTGAAGCCGCGATAGAAGCAATCAACTTGTTGAAGATTGGTAATTCAATTAATTATACTAAGATTGCAAAAGAGTTTGGTGTTGATTGGATAATACTATTAAGATGCCACCGCGGGGTATAGCACCCTAAAGACCACTAATATAAGCAATAGTGAGTTCTTACCAACCAACATGAAAAAGAACTAATAAGCTATATTAATAAGCTTACTAAGCAAGGCCTCTTCACATCCTATAAGATACTTCGGAATTTTGCAAAGGAAATTACTAGCAAGAAGCCTGGAAAACACTGGCCTGGGCGCTTTATAAAGCATTACCAAGATAATCTTATCTCAACCTATACAACAGCTATTAATACCACGCGAAAACAAGCCAATTCTGCATATAGATATACTCTATATTTTGAGTTATTAAGCTAGAAGATACAGCAATATAAGTTATAGCTAGAGGATATCTATAATATAGACAAGAAAGGATTTCTTATTAAAATATTAGTTAAAGGTCTTAGGATCTTCTTAAAGTAGAAATATATAGCTGGAGAAGGGCTTAAGCAATACCTATAAGATAGAAATCACAAGTAGATAACTTTAATTACTTATATTTATACTGATAAAACCTCTCTCTTACCAGGTCTTATTTACTAGGCTTTTACTAGTAATATATAAGATTCCTGGCTTCAAGACTTTAATCCTGAGCTTTATTCTTACTTCTTTGCCTTCTCTGTAAGTAGTTGGACTAATGATAAGCTAGGATATACCTGGTTAACTAATATATTTGACCGCGAGACTAAGGACAAGGCACGCAGGCGATGGAGGCTTCTTATTCTTAATAGTTATAGATCTTACCTTACCATGAAGTTTATTAATTACTGCGACACTAATAAAATCCTATTAATAATATATCTACCTCATTCAACTCATTTACTACAGCTACTTAATATTGGGATCTTTAGCCCTCTCTCTACTACTTATAGCAAGAATCTCAAGGACTTTCTACATAAATTAATAGGCCTCAGTCATATTACTAAACAGGACTTCTTCCGCCTCTTCTAGCCAGCCTAGGAACAGGCCTTATCAACAAAAAATATCCTTTCTTCATGGCAAACTATGGGGATATAGCCGCTAAATCTAGAAATAGTTCTAGTTTAATTTAATAAGCAGAATAACTCTAGGCCCTTCTCAAATAATTCCTTATACTCTATCCTACAGGCAGAGGACTGGCAGAAGATTAAGAAACTTTTAAATCAAGTTATTACTAATATATATGATAAAAATACCAAGAAATTAAGCTCAATAATATATTATCTTTCTATAGAGAATATTATCCTAAAACTATATTATCAAGGCCTTGAATTAGCCCTCTAGAATGAAAAGAAGAAACATTAATATAGGAAACCCTTGCAGTTTAAGCTCATAGCTCTTAAAAATAATAGTATAGTTTTTTACTCTCCTTAAAAGGTTTAGCAGGCTTGTAATCTTTAAATATAGAAGGATAAAGTTATACAACTTACTAAGGTATTAAAGGAGCAAGAGAAGGTCTATTAATAGCTTGCTAAAGAGAAGAAATAATACTTGCTTAAAGAGTAAAAGAGAAATCAAGCATCCTAGCAAGAATTACAGCTATTAGAGGCAGAGTAAAAGAAACAACAAAAAGAGGATGCTCACCTAGCAAAGGAGGCAGATTACTAGCTTTAAAATAACTTCCAGCAGGTAAAGAAGTCTCCAAAGAAGGTCTCTAAAGCTTTACACCAGCAAAAATCTATAGAAACCAGGCCAACAACACCTATAGAAGTCCTAGAGGCCCCTCTAATAATAAATCATTAAGGCCGCGAGATCCAGCTCCCACAGTGCTTTTAGACTAATTAAAAACTATATATAGAGTCCTAATAATGACTATATTTATCCACCAAAAGATCACGCGATAATAATAATTATATGTGGTTAAATTACTTCATATTCAATATTACTGGTGGTGGTGAAATCGGGCGTCAGGTGGGACCGGGCGTCAGGTGATCACCGACTGTAGTTAGTATCCGCAGTGCTTAAGACTAAGCCACCACTCATCAGCAGGATATACATACATATATTGATGAGAGGTTGTCAAACTATGATGGTAGAAAGTTGACTGAAATGGATTCAATTAGTCTAACTAAGAAATAGAGAGATGCTTGGAGGAAGTATAGAGATCTAGAAGGAAATAGTGGCCTTAAATATATAGAGTAGTCACATGTTACTATCTTCTTTTTTATGGTGATGCTGCTTTATAGTAGTACTAGTTATATTTATTAAGTATAGTACTCTAATACACCCCTCTTAGTAATATATCTATTATATAAAGCTATTTAGAATCTATCTCTAACTTACTAAAACTTATTTTTTTAATAAATTTATTAAATTTTATAGTTAGTAATATGTCACGGGGAGCAGGCAGGCAGTAGGTGTAGCTAATAGCAGGGTGTATATTCAGGCTATCTGCATATAGGTACAACAGGTAGGGATTAGGTTAGGATAAGGACGTAGCTTAAAGAGCTATAACAGGATTAGGGGTAATATAGCTTAAATATAGGAGTAAAGGCAGATAATTAGGGTAGAATCTAACTAGATAGGTATATAGCTATACTATAATAGTATCCTCTCTTTTAGGCTAAGCTCTAGTAAAATATTTCTAAGATCTAGGCTTTCTAGGGTAGTAGTAATAATAAATAGTAATATACTTAATAGTATTCTCTAAATAGCTAGTAGAAATTTTAATAATAATAAGATATTTAATTTATTTAATAATATATTTTAAATATAAGTAACTATTTTAACTATAATAATTCTAGTAAGAGTTAATTACTTCCTTAATCTTTTATTTCTTAATATTATTAACTTTAATATATAGGAGTTTAATTTTCTTTTATTTAAATAATAGGTCTTTAGTAATTAAGTATAATAATTTAATATAAAATATTAGATATATTTTTATATTCTTAAGTAGGTCTAATTTATAGATATAAGGATTAATAACCCTTTTAATAAAAAAAGGGCCTAGATTTTTCTAATTTAATTTTTTTTAAGGGTATAAGATTATAATATTCTTAATATTTAACTAGATTAATTAATCTTTAGTATAGTATCTAGTAAGGTAGTATTTCTAGTTAATATAGTATTTATAGTAGGCTTAAGTAATAATTATAGTAATATAATAATATTCCTATATTTACTTTATAATTAGAGTAAATTAGTAAGTATTATAAATTTATAGATAATAATTAGATAAGATAGGTTTAAATCTTATATAAAAGTTAAAATTATATAAAATAAAAAATAAGAAATATCTAGTAATTTTAAAATTAATATTATTAGTAGTAAATTCTATTATAAATAACTATTTAGCCTAATTATCTTATAAGTAATTAATATAAACTTATAAATATTATTCTAAAATAATATTTATATATTTAGTTTATTTATTAGTTTTAGGATAATAAATAATAAATAAAAGTAATCTTATTTTTAGAATATAATTTAGATATATCTAGAATATTAATATAAATTAGGATCTTTAATTAAATATAATAAATTTAGAGAATTTATAAAATCTTTAAATATAATCTTAGAATAAGTAGATAGTTTCCTTAGTATTATAGGTATTATTATAAGAAATATAGTATTAAAACTTTATTAACTAGTTAATTATTATTATAATAGTATTAAAGTCTAAGCTTTAGAATAAATATATAATAAAATTAATAAATATATTTTTTTAAAGACCCTTAAGTATAAGTAAGGAATAAAGTATTTCTTAATACTTATTTTAATAAAATATAAATTATTTATAAGTATAATAATTATAAACTTATTATTTTATAAATTATAATATTCTAGACTAGTAATATAATTATAATAATAATTTATAAATCTTTAATTTATTTTAATAATTAATAATTATATTTTTATAATATTTATATATTAGTTTTACTTTTAATTTTTTTATATTAAAAATATATAGTTAGTTATAGTAAAATAAAAGTCTAGAATAGCAAGTATACTTAAATAATAT